TTAAGGAAGATATATCATTTCTTATTACAAGCAGTCACTATATGAAACTAATAATTTCTGTAGTAACTTACAGAATCAGTGTTCTACGGTTATTTGAAGGTTGAGTGGAGGGAAGTTTTCAAACTTGGTTACTTTTGAAAGACTCGCATAGTATATGTTAACTTTTGTCCAATTACTCATTCTCTAGTGGATGCTGATATAAAATGTTGGAGTTGAAGTTATGTAATGGTGATTCTCAAAGTAGCTTTCTCGCTCGCACGTGTATGTTTGCATTTCTGAAACATAGGATTATCTGGATTTTTTTTTTGTTAGCAGACTTTGAAGAGCGTAGAATACGACATCAAGTTCAACTTTACCACTTTTAACTTCTGCATACTTAACGAAACTACTTTCATTTTATACTGGTAAGGCTGGGCTTTACTGCCTGCATAACCCGTTAAAAGCACCCCAAATTATTATTATAAAAATGTAGGATATTCATGTTGTATCTTTCATGGACAATGTTTCTGATGGATAAATGGTACGAAATTCCGCAAGTTTGCATCTAATTTCTTATTTACCTGCATTTCCTCACATCTCTTCAAGTGAATCACCTGAGTTGTTTTTTCTTAAGGCAGAGTTGTTCACAAAAAGAAACAGATATGTGTATCTTGGATAACATAAAAATGGTAGCTTGTTATATTACTTTAGTCTTAATGTGTGGTGCTGGGGACACCCAAAAAGTGGAGAAATAGTTCCTCATTCTTAAAATAAAAAATTTATTTTTATTGTTGTTTATACTTACGTTATCGACATATTCATTCACTGAACCTATTTACACATCTCAGCAAGAAACGGGCCTATGCAAAAATGTGCTCCAAGAATACGCCCAGAAGATGAACTATGCCATTCCTTTATACGAGTGCCACAAGGTAGAAAAACCAGGCCGGGCCTCCGCATACTCATGTGTGGTCGAAATTGGGGGCATCAAATACATAGGAGCCTTAGCCAGCACAAAAAAGGAAGCTGAGATCAAAGCTGCCCGAACGGCTATGATAGCCATCCAATCATCTGTCTCCAACTCTGAAGATGGGACTGGCAACTCTCTCTACACGGTTCTCCCACAGAAAAAGAAATCAACTGTTAATAACAAAACTAGTACGAGCACCAAGGATAATGCAAAACTGGGGCCCTCTAAAAAGAAAAAAGGCGGCTTTAAGAAGAAGAAGGCTTTCAAGAAGCAGAAGCCTGTTGAAGGGGAGATCCTTCCGGAAGTGAAAATGAACGGTGGGGATGGATTGGGGTTGGACGAGGTCAAGATGGTGAATACTTGTGATCCGGGGGACTGTTGATGCAAATCTTGAAAGTTCTTCAAGTTTTACGCGATGTAGAGTGACATGATAATATGCAAAAACTCTTGATGCCTTGTGAAAAAATGGCTAGGTGTTTCTGATTTGCTGGGTTTTTTGTTTACTGGGATTGTGGGCTTTATTGAGGGTGATATTTTGATCAGAAGTGCCAAGAATTTATTGGCTGCAAGATATTGTGCTATTGAGCTGTTATATATGGTGCTTAGTTGAATGTGACTGTTGAAACTAGAAATCAGTGCTTTTTCTTTGTTCTGATGCATAATTTCTGTTCTTCAGTACTTGAGGGAAATTACATTTACACGGTTAACTCGTACAAAATGTGGAACACACTCTTTAGGGTTTGCACTATGTTAAATGGAAACAAATATATTTGTCAAGGAGTAACTGTATAAAGAGATGAAATCGATCGGGTCAAGACGACCCAAAATGCAGGAGACACAAACGATGGCATCGTTTGAAGCGGAGCTATATATCTGAACTGAAACGATTTTGCTACGAAGAAATTTAGAAACTTGATGGCAAGAGCTGAGCTGCTTTTCAGAATGACACTTCACCAAATATAACTCCATTTTTGTCCTTAATTTGTATTTTATTTCAATTTGTACTGTCTTTCTGATGTTCATAAGTAGGGCTATTTATAGCTTGAGGGTTGAGCTTCAAAAGCCACGACTCAATCACGATATAAAAGTCAACTAATACCGATATAAAAGTCAACTAATACGCTTAAGTGATTGTTAGAATATAATATTTGTCTAATCAGGTTGTAATTGTAATTCTTACTTGGGAATCAGCAAGTATTGAGTGTAACTAAATATATGAAAAGAAGTCCTAACGGGAAAGTAGCCGCTAGTGTCGCCATATGATCAGCCGCGTTGGAGGCATGGCTTGACCACGACGTTTGTGGGGTGGCTCATCCTCGCAGCGTTCTAGCATAATCGTTCTTAGGCCCCTGGCCTCCTTCTTTATAACAAAAAAAAAAAAAAAAATATATGAAAAGAAAAAAGGGTTAGCTGATAATTTCTTGAGATGCAAGGAGTCAAACTCAAAATTGCAATAAGAAATGTGTGGGTTTTGTTAGGCTAAACTTGCGGAGAACGCTTTTAATCATAGCTGATTAGGGCTTAACTGACGACTCCTCCATTTAGTAAGTGGTTTTATTCGAGTTCAATCGGGTCAAGTAATTTTGATTAAACAAGCACAAGTTCGATTCAACTTGGTTAACAAAATGAAATGTATGTAGATAGTATAAACTACGCAGTACGATGTTATAACTCTGAAATTATAAACGGAAACAAGTAAATGTAAAAGCTTCTTCAAGAAGGGTATCACTCCCCCTCTGAACTCTTTCATTAATAGATCGATTTGCGCGTATAAAGTATAACTGGGCTTAGACAACTCGGTCTTCCTCCTAGTTTAGCCAACACTATACCTGACTATTAATTATTTCCCTGCACACAACAAGTGGACTTCAAAATAACGAGTTGTTTGCGAACAAGTTAGGCTCCACTTGTTTAATAACTAAAACAACTTGCTCATTTAGCTTTTCAAGCTCGGCTCATTTAAATGGAAAACAACCCAAGCTCGAGATTGAAAGTTCCATGCAACTACCATTAGCACACCAAGGAAGAGTCTTCCATAAAGCACACCAATGAAGAAGAAGACTATCCACCAATGACTCCACCAACCTTCTTTCACACACACATTCAACAATGATGTGCTAAAGCTTGTCAATGGGGGTGTGCTAACCTTGCCTATAAATAGGCTTCTCATTTCATTCATTCAGATCTTTCAAGAGTGTGATCAATCAACTTTGAGAGTGTTGAAACACAACCAAGAAAGAGTTGTGGAGTGTTTGAGAGTTTTTTGTTTAGAGTTTGTAAATCTCTTGTTTTTATTCTTGTGAGTAATAGAAACTTGTTTTTCTTTCAAATTATGTTTATGATCTTTGGATGATACCACAAAAATGGTATCAGATCTTGGTTTGAAGCTTTCGAGCTTATTTTCGAATTTTTTCGAGCTTCTGTAGAAATTTTGAGTTTTTGAGTTGTGCTTGAAATTCAATTTCGAGGACACCGTTAGATTCGTCTCGTCGAGACGGTTACGGTGATATCTTACGGGCGAAAAAAGAAAACCGGAGCTGCCCCGAAAAGCCATCTGAAGTTCTGAAGAAAAAAAAAATGGTGAAGAAGACGATGACATGGCGACACGTCACCTGACATGTCAGCGAGGAAGGCTCAGTCATCAGCCACGTCAACAGCCTCAGTCAGTTGTTACATCACCTACCACGTCATAAAGGAGGGCCCCAGTTTCTGCCACGTCAGCAGTCCAGTCATCTGCCACGTCAGCAAGTCTGCCCAGTCAGCTGTCACGTCAGCACAGTAAAAAAAAATATAAAAAACTGGACCCCCCCCCCATTTTCGACTGTTCCGGACACAACGGTGCTATCTATTTTGCGAAATTCAGCTCCAATTTATCCCAAACAGATCGTTGAAGGTGTAAAATGGCCATGGACGAGTCAACTTCATCTTCTGGAGATATGATTATGCTCACGTCTACCAACTATATGTTGTGGAAACCTCAGATGGAAGATTTCCTTAGCTGTAAAGAGCTCTTTGACCCAATAGAGCTAAAGGGTAATGACCTTGATCCGTCCAAGGCATTAGAATGGAGGAAAATAAATAGAAAAACTATTGGTCAAAATTCGACAATGGATTGATCATAGTGTCTTCCATCATGTTGCACAAGAAATCGACGCATATGTCCTTTGGAGGAAGCTGGAGGACATTTACCTGGCTAAGACCGCTCGGAATAAGGCCTTATTAATGAGGCACTTAGTGAATATGAAGTTGAAAAGTGGAACTTCTGTTGCTGAGCATACCAGTGAGTTCAGAGCCTGGTAAATCAACTATCTTGTGTGGAGATGCCGCTTGGAGATGAAATGTGTTTGTCCAGTTTTTGTTGCATTTTTCGTTATTATTTTCTCATTCATTTTCCCCTATTTTGAGTCATTTAGTTGGTTTTAGGTTCATTTTGTCGTTTATTGTGTGTTTTGTGTTGTCTTGAGTGTCCCGGTAATTTTTATGTTTTTTCCGGTAGTCTTCCGTTTGTGTTTTCATTTTTGGTGTGTAGGTCGGGAGCTTTGGGAGAACAGGTTTCTGGGAAATTTTTGGGGAATCTTACATCATTAGATAGAGGGGTTCGTTAGCTACGCGTAGGAACAAACGGAACTCAATTCCGAGTTCGGACGAGCTCAAACGAAGCAAAACCGTGAATCCGCGCAGTGCAGCCAACTTTCTCCGCGGCCGCGGGAATACCTCCACGGCCGCGGAGGCCGCGAACCCAAAAATTGCTGCAGCTATTTCCCGCGGCCGCGGAGCAAGTCGCGGCCGTGGAGGTCGCGAAAACAGGTTTTAAAAGCAGATTTTTTGAACGATTGAGGATTCATTCTCTCCCCTTCTGGGAGACGAACTCTAGCCCGAGAAAACTCACGAAACTCCCTTTTTCTCCTTCCTTCTTCTTCTTCTTCTTCACTTTTTCTTCTTCTTTTTCTTCTTAATTCTCCATATATTTTCCTGTTTTCTTCTTCATCTGGCCTTGGGATCAAGTTTGTAATAAGGATTCAACTCTTGACTGAGGTTTATTGTAAGAATTTCTTCTATTTCAATTCATGAAAAATGGTTGTTTTGGGAGAAATAATTATGTGTGTTGAATTCCTTTTACGTTGCTAAATCTCATTGCTAGGGATAGGGGATTGATGTTCTGAATTCAATTGTGATTGTTGAGCTTGTTGATTATTCAATTCATGTGAGTTGTCCTGATTAGGGTTTGATGAGATTGTGTTTGAATGATATAAATTATTGAAGGAGTGACACTTCAATTTTCAATTACTTGTTGATTGGGGTTTGATTCATTCTTGCATATTTGTGTTGATCCCTTTGTTTGGATTGATTAAAAACCATCTAGGCTCATTAATTGACTCATTGAATCGAAAGAGGAGGAGTCGATAGACCATGGCTCATATGAAATTGGCTTGTTCGTAACTGTATTACCAATGTGTTAAAAGGCTCGTTGATTTATCGTTCATGTTCAACCTCTTGTTACGAAAAGTTATTGAGGACGAATCTCTGGACGAATAAGTTACCGATTCCTTTTAACCGAATGATCTCTTGCTCGGCACTTGCTCTTTGAACCAAAACGGATATCCCCGACTCCCTAGTTTCTTTATTGCTTTTCAATTTGCATTTTAGGTAGATTTATTTTCATGCTTTCCCTCAGTTAATTACTATCTCAATCATCTGATTTAGAGTGTTTAGGGTTATTTTCTCTTCTTGTGTTATCAACACCATTGCTAAATTCCGAACCGCCTTCCTCGAGAGACACGACCCGGTGTTCGAATCTTTCGATTCTACTCCGGAAAAATATTTACAACAATTTGGCGCCGTTGCCGGGGAAGGCAAGTAGGATATTTAGTTTTGGTGTTTGATCTTATTTTTTGTGTTTCTCTTTATTTTAGCATTTTTAGTGTTTTTGTTCCTTTTGTGCATTTGTGTTTTTCTCTTCTATTCTTGTTTTAGTTTTTATCTTCTTTTCTCCTCCCTTTTTCTTGGCTACGTGTGGTTGTTTTGTTCTGGTGTGCAGGTACAATGAATTTCAATCACGGGTACTTCTCCCTGCACGACCCCTCTTAGAACAACGAGCCAGTCTATTTCCCTGGGTACCACTCCCAACCGTACCCTTATTCTTTCGAGCAGTGCTGGAACCATCTTCCGATCGAGCAAAATTATGAGGCCCTTAAGTTCAACGAAAAGCTCGAGCGAATTATTGAGTTCATAGATTCCCAAGCAGCTCGAGAAAGAGAGGCCGCCTACCATGCGAGCTCGACCAGATCCTGGCTTTTATAGAATCCAAAGAAGAAGAGGTAGCCTACAAT